TTAGATAGTTTTTCATCATCTAATTCCATTTCTTTTCTTTGAAGGTTGTAAGATAAATCGACAGAGCATAGTAAATTCAAGTTGTATAACTTCTTAAATAATTGTCTACTCAAGTTTGAGTCCATAACTATATTCTCAGGCTTTGCTTGGGAATATTAGATGAAGCGTAACTAGACAAGCTTCAAAACTTATTCCCATAAATTTGAGCACAAGACTTCAAGAATAGTCTAAGCATTAGACATATCAATGATGTTGACATACTCGAAAGTGAGATAGAGCACCTACCAGAATGCAACTACCTCTGAAGATATTCAATAAGCTTCTTTTGAGCTGGTGATAGAGATTTTCAAACCTTGATAATCTCTACACCATCAACTTCTATAGTAATACCTTTCTCAAGGATATTCTATAGACCTTCATCAAAAACCTTTATCAAGACCAATGAGTTAAAAATCTATTTTGCTTTTCCATCATTTAAATTCAGTGGAATCACCCTTTGAATATGGTAGAAAAAACGTTATGCTATTTTCATGTGGCACTTGATTTCTTCTTGAAGGAAAGTCTTTAACATGCATACTTTTCTTATTGGATCATAATCTGCATCGATGTTAAGGGTTAAGCACATACCAGACTCTGATACCAATTGAAGGTGATAAAAGTAAACAAGAAGGGGGGAGTTGAATTGTGTTTTCCATTTTCTTAATTTGTGTCTGATCATAGTTCAGAATCTAAAATGGTGTTCCGATTCTGATTATACTTAGCAGCAGATGTTAACAGAAGCAAATAAATAATAGCCAAAGACACAAAGATTTATATTGGTTCCTCCAAATTGAGGTTAGTCTAGTCCCCTTGCTTCACAAGAGATTTTCTCTATAACCAAATCATGATTACAATCGCTTATGCATTCTTCATAATTCTTTTACACTACTCATACCCTAGGTCCAAAATTTCATGCTCAAGTCCTACAGACTCATGACTTCTTCTCTAGGTTCCATGAAACAAGCTTTCCTCCTCAAATCCCTCAAGTTCAACACTTCTGCTCCAAGTTCCACAAACCGAGCCATCTTGCTCACGCCACACAGGCCCAAGACTTCTGCTCCAGCTTCCATGAAATGAGCCTTCCTGATCAAACCCCTCAGGTTCAAGACTTCTGCTCCAAGTTTCACAAACCGAGTCATCCTGCTCAATCAATCTACTTGGTTCAGACTTCCATTGCTCAAGCGCATATCATGAGACTTACATGGCTCAAGCATCTTAGCGAGAGACTTCATTGCTCGAATCCTAATGATACAAAACTTATGCTCAATCAATCCACTTGATTAAGACTTTCAGTGCTCAAGCACATAGAATGAGACTTACATGGCTCAAGTATCTTGGCGAGAGACTTAATCTAAACTGCTAAGCAAGTTCAGCATAATAGAGAACAAGTTGTACCTGATACTAATATCAGAGGTACGAGAAATCATCATAACAAAGACCTAAAGCTCTTAATATTTCTATAATTATAAATCGACATCATTTCACATTTTTCTATCAACTAGGGGAAGTGCATTGCTTGCTCTCATCAATTAAGGAATTAAAACAAATGTGAAAGCTTTCTTTCACCTCCCTGCTACGGCCCGTAGAAGCTGTTACGGGTGGTCGTAGCAAACCTCTGCATTTGGTACCATTGGGCTTCAAATGGGGACATCTAGGTCTTCTGCTTCTATTGCCCTTAGTAGCCCACAGGTTTTTGTATGGAAGAAATTTTCATTTTGGCCCGTTTTACTTGTCTTTGATCCCTATTTTTCTTGGATGCTCATTATACCAAAAAATTAGCAAGAAAGGATAAAAAAAAGATAATTGAATCGAATGAAATACGGTGAAAAAACTAAAGGAAAACAACTTGAAATAACAATGCAAAGACCACTTATTACAGTAGCTTCTTGTTGTTGGTCTAATTACGAGATCTTGGTCTCAAGCTTTTTGCTTTGACTGCCCATAACTTCTACCTTATTATCTAACTACTTAATAAACTCATTGGTATGAACATTTTGGTTCATAAACTCTTTATTCTACTGAGTCTGAGATAAGACGAATTTTTCTATCATTAGTTCCAAATTAGACTTATTGGGTGAAGTAAGAGAAACTGGGGATCCTTTATGGTTTTGGAAACCAGGTGGAGTAGTGGGTGCAGGGCCAGGTGTAAATAAAGTATTATTATTCTTGTAGGGGAAATTTGGATGATTTCTTAATCCAAGATTATATGTGATGGAATTAGGATTTCCTTGCACATAATTAGTCTGATTAAGAGTATGTTCAGCTAATAACTGACAATCAACAGTGACAAGTCCTTTGATTCCATAAATTTCACAATTGGGAGTCACAACAGCTACTGTAGGGATAATCGTCAAGTTGTCTATGTTTGGAGTAAGAGCATCTATTTTGGCATTCATATGACCAAATCTGCTTACCTCGTACATACCACCTCTAGGTTATAACTTTTCAACAGAAGCATGTTCTCTTCCTAATTGATACTGGTTCTGGGCTATATTCTTTATGAGTTGGTAGGATTTTTGGAAGGGCTTATACATCAAAGCACCTTATGCCATAGTATCAATAATCATTCTCATATTATAGAGAGAAGCAACATAGAATGTGTGGATTATCACCCACTTTTCTAAACCATGATGTGGACAAAGTCTCATCATGTCGTTATATCTCTCCTAGACCTCAAAAAGGGATTCACCGTCGGCCTGTTTAAAATAGCTTATCCGGTTTCTTAACACCGCTATCTTGCTTGGCGGGAAATACCTTGATAAGAATTTCTTTTCTAAGAATCTCAAGGAATCCGCACAAATGAAAGACATGGGTGGAAGAAATGACATTATATGTGCAAAGAATAATAAAGGAAAATTCCTTTATGACTTTGAGGCTGGTATGTTAAACAAGATGTCTGAAATTAAGTTAACTCTTAAAGGAAGCTTCACTTACTTTCTTGACCTATAAGTAAAGCACATAGCATGAAACTTACATGACTCAAGCATCTTGGCAAGAGACTTCCTTGCTTGAATCCTAATGATACAAGACTTCTACTCAATTAATCCACTTGATTAACACTTTCATTGCTCAAGCACATAGCATGAGACTTACATGGCTCAAGCATCTTGGCGAGAGACTTAATCTAAACTACGAAACAAGTTCATCAGAATACGGAACAACGTGTACTTGGTACTAATATCAGAGGTACGGGAAATCACCATAACAAAGAGCTAATAAAGCTCTTAAGATTTCTATAATTATGAATTCACAAAGTTATGATGATAGAAATCTTCCTACTCAAACCCCTCAGTTTCAAGACTTATGCTCCAAGTTTCACAAATCGAGCCATCTTCCTCAATAAATATACTTGGTTAAGACTTTCATTGCTCAAGCACATAGCATAAGACTTACATGGCTCAAACATCTTGGCGAGAAACTTCCCTGCTTGAATCTCAATGATACAAGAGTTCTGCTCAATCAATCCACTTGATTAAGACTTTCATTGCTAAATCACATAGCATGAGACTTACATGGCTCAAGCATCTTGGTGAGAGACTTAATCTAAACTGCTAAACAAGTTCAGCAGAATAGAGAACAAGGTGTACCTGATGATACTAATATCAGAGGTACGGGAAATCACCATAACAAAGACCTAAAGCTCTTAAGATTTCTAAGATATTCAATGTGTAAGAAATCTTAAGGCTTTTACAATTACAACCTACAACAGAAAATCTGCATACACGATAGAGTTGATGATTATTGATCTTGTTACTCTTTCATCTGGTAAATCCTTGTTGAAGATTCAATTTGAACCTTCAGCCACTTATATAGCAGTTGCAGGAGACTAGCCATTGGAAGAGATAACTTGATCAAGTGTCTTTGTTTTACTCAATAGTATAAGAGTCGTTGAAGATAGTTACACCAAAAGATCTTGATCCATTGTGTAACATGTTTAAACATTGACTCTTCAAAAACATGTCAACCTTTCTTGAGCCTTGTGAACTCAGACTCTAACTGACAAACTGATTTGGCAATGTAACTTGTTTTATGCAGTACGAAAAACTTCGGGTTTGTCATAAACTCTTAATGATTCCAGAAGGCAATTTATATTTACCAAGTGTAGAGACAGTTATATTGCTTTTTCTTATGCTAAGGCCTTCAGCTTCAGAGTCTACGTCAGACATCACTTAGCAAGTGTTCTTCATATTCTGCACCACCAAAAACTAGCAATTCAGCTTCTCGCAAGTTTGTCTTTATATATCAGATTCTGTATATAAATATTTACAAATATTAGAACCTACATACAAGAAACACACATCAAATATAACCATTGTTCTTTAAATATTTTATTATCATCAAAATCCAAAAAATATATGTCATAAACAAATCTTATTCTAACAAATAGAAAGTGAAGAAGAAATACAATAGTAACGGTACTTGATGAAGAGGAATGAGTGACGATGAAGAAGAAGGAAGAAGTTGGTTGTAACTGAAATACTATAGTTTTTGGTTAGATGGGATTGCAATTAGAATGATGATATCACTTGTTGAATCAAAGTATTCTCTCATACATTATTAGGCATAACTGTCCTTATATACAACATATGCATGGAGCTTTCATCATTAGTTGAACAACAAACAATTTACAACTAACTAAAAACAAACTATACATCTGAGTTATGTCCAATCATAACAAACTATACACTACATATCATATCCACACAAAAAATACCATAGGACATACATTACAACTGATTAGCTCCTATATATATAGAACATAGTACTCCTAGTTTATTATAATCAATACAACATTTTATAGCTAATTCTTAACTTGACAATAAAGCAAATTATAGAATATTAAGATGGAATTTAATTCATTTAGCCAATCTCACTTAGCAACATAATATTAGACTATTGCGGTGGTGCACCTATAAACTATATAAATATTTCTGGGTTATAAACCCTAAATACATTTTCCCTTATGATTTTCTAGTCAATAATATGGTGACATTAACAAACTTAGTTTTCTCCTTGGACATCCTATCAATCAAAATTTCTTGATAGCGATTAAAAAGGTCTTCAATAATAGACTCTCCAAAATGGTCAACTAGCAAAGGTTCAGAAACAGCTCTCATGCACTGTGTAACATTGTATGCACCATCATTGAGATATTCAGACTTATGAGACTCACATGCAAAAGCATTCCATTCATCAAGAGCATTCCAATTCACTTCAGAAACTTCCAATCGATCGACACTAAATGATCCTTCTTTGAGAACTTCCAATTTCACTTCTGATGGAGAAGGAGTGTACTGAGGGATGTTGAAAGTATCAAGTTGCTCTTCTTTTATGATTCCCTGATGCACATAAAAATCAACACTCAGATAAAAACCTACTATAGGCACCTAAAAAGAATTGTATTTAGGATGAGACATCTACCTCCAAAACCATATGGTTAAGAGCCATAGCCATGAGCTCCCAAATGTAGCAACACTCTTTGCTACACATATTATCACTTTTTCTTCCTAAAAACGTTAGAATCATGCGACCTCCCTCCACTACTTCCTTTGCACGACACTCTAAAAATTTCGAAAAATCTCTTCGAAATTGGTTGTAGTAAGCAGTGAGTACATTTGAAGGGCTTGTACTAGCCATGTAAATGTTTCCTTTATTGTTGTTTACATTCTCAGGAACCTAAAAAAATCATCCATAACAAAATGTAAAAATTATAAAAAAAAAAAAGAAAAAGGAGTTAGAGAGAAAAGTTAAGCAATTAAACCTTAGATAGCCACATAAGACTATAAGATGAATGAACCAAATGCAAGCTTTGCTTAGGAAAAATCCTGCCATAGAAAGAACCAGGAACTCCAGAGATATAGCATGGTCCCATTTCAGTTTCTATTTCGCCGCGTAGTTCCTTTTTGAAGCTATCAAGAGATCTAAAGACGTTGTTGAAGTCGTTACCGGGTAAATCATTCAAGAAGATACTATATTCCGGAGATTCATGATTCATCTCTAGACAAAGCTTTTCCACAACCTTGATAAAGTCTGATACCACCAACAAAGTGTTTGGTCCAGAAGAGCAACCTAAGTCTGCAATTGCTAGGGTTCTTGGAGATGTACTACAATAGAGACTAGTTATGGCTTCTTCTCTAATGGACTTTGTCAAAGAAATAACCTGTTGCTGTAAATACAAAAGGATTATTAGTTATTACGCACGTTCGAATTCGCTACATCCCACTTACACGGTAGATAATAAAAAATAGAATTGATATATACCTGAACTAAGGAGTTGTTGGAATAGCTAGCTTCTCCAACACCTCCATTCATGTGAAGAACCTGTGCTACATTCATTTTTGTTATTTTTTCTTTCATTCTTTCTCAGTCTTTTGATTTTTTGTTTCTCTGATTTTAATTAGAACCATACCACACACATTTATATATAGATGTGTGAAGGGTACTAACGAAAATCGTTACTCTTGTGTTTCAACAAACATGGATCTTTTTCGTGGATATTATTATTTCCCTTTTTTTTAAGTATTATAAAATAATTCCTTAATTTTTATGAATATCTGTGACATGTGATTCACCTTAAGTGGGTTCTGAACAAAGTTGGTTCACGTATGATTTTTTTCCTCGCAACTTCAAGATATTCACGTTTGTGCGTTAAATGTCACATTTCTCTTAACCCAACTTTAAACATTTGAGAGTGACCACCCATAAAGATGGGTGTATTTTAGTGTTCGGCAAACCAGCATGTCTCGTAATGATTTGTCCTGCAAAAATTTGTAAAAGAATAGGATGGGACATAGCGGACATAATTGATAATACGGGTCTAAACTTAATTCGTTTCGAAAAAAATTAAGGGTAGGACAGAAAAAGTCCGTGGACACCGACGAAAAAAATGGAACAAAATGGAACAGACACATTAAAAAGTGAGAGTTTAAACTCTTACTCACTCTGCGTTTTAGTGCCGACAGAACACTCGTACTCAATAGACTGGTCCCGTTTTGCCGCCCCTAATATATATTTGGCCGTTGCTTTTTTTTTTTCATTGTTTTTGTTTTTTTTTTAAGTGTTGGACTCTTATTTGTATCAAAATATTTTAAAGGTGGGTGAGTATTAGGAGTGTGCAGAACCCAATCCAACCCGAAGACCCGTCTCAACTCAATAGTTTACGGTTAGTCTTTTTCCCGTCTCATGTAAAAAAATAGAAAAACATAACTGTCCAAAAATGAATCCGGTATCAAGTGAGACGGGTTCGGATTGACCCTCGGGTTATCCAACCCGTCCTAATATTATGAATGCACATGTGATACTATTTATTTATTTAATTTATTAATATATTTAGATTATTCCAAATTAACAATAGACTTTTCTACTTTCCACCTCATAATTTAATATATGCACTAAGTAAATACTAAGTACACATCTTCTTACTTTCCAACTTTCACACTTTTGTAGTTCTCTTGCATTATATTTTTTATTTTACATTTTCTTATTATGTTTTAGGGAAAATAAAAAGGTGATGACATATATAGAATTACATCATGTTTTTTATTTTTAAAAATTGACTTTAGATGTATTCATTGTTTTTCATTCATGCTAATGATTTTATTCATATTTCTTATTTAAATGAATTTTTTAAAATACTATAATAAACTTTTTAAGTCACTAAATTTTTTTTCTCCATATATTTCGGGTCAACCCGATATCGTCTTACATTAACCCGGTCTAAACTAACTTATATATTATCGGGTTTTTTACGAATTTAGGTACGGGTTCGAGTCATTAAAATAACCCGATCAAAATTTAGGACAGAATTAGAGTTAGTCATAATTCATCCTGACCCGTCTCTTACTCACCCCTAATGAGTATTTCTAGTACTCAACTCCTTCTCATTTTCATAAAAGAGTTGTTGATAATTAACTAAATTTTCATAAAAGAGTTGTTGATAATTAACTAAATAGAAAGTTAAATATATTTTAGCAGAATTACAATGCAATATATTAAAAGCAACATAAACGAGTAAAAAACAAATAAATATATTTAACCACACTTTTTGAAAAATAAATATTGTTGATTTTCTGTCGTTGTAATTTAGAAGCATGTGAGTCAACACAAACATTTTCTTTTATTAAAAACGTTTTTGATTTTCTTTATAAAATCTTTAACTTATATGAGACACTCATTTCATGAATGCGAACTCTTAAAGGACATTGTAGGGACGATAAACACAAGTTAGAGGCGATCGAATACGCAAGAGAGCAACATCATCTTCCTCTTACGAAACATAGTCATATTTATCTTTTTTTCATCTTTTTATTTTCACATGTTTTGAATCTGTCTTTATTTTTCACAATCTAGGTTATGTTAATGTTAGGTTATATCTTCACAAGCTAAATTATAACTATATAGGTTCATGTATTTTTTTTAAGGTTATATTAGATTATTGATATCTCTCGATAATATTTGTGGTATTGGTGTATATTTAAGTAAGACAACTTTTGAGAACGTAAAAGGCAGAATATTAAGGCTTTAAATTTATCATAGATAACATGTGATTAAATAGGGTTTCATAATAGTTATACAATGGTTATATGGGGCCTCTATTTGTTTTTTCATGATTAAATTACGACTAATTTACATAGGGTCTCCAAAAAATTTAGACAACTTTGTATTTAAGTTTATGAGATATTGGATCGAACTCTAGTATGTTGTCGGAGTAATGTGTGTTGTAGTCGAAGTTTGTTCCAATATGCATTAGTTAATATTGCTAGGTTTGTTAGCATGTTGAATTGAGTCTTACTTGTAAGTCCAATTGTTTAAGTCCGCTTGTATCCTAAGTTAGCTTGTAATGGGTAATTGTTAAAAAGCTCATTAGGTTAGTGTGTTATTTTTCTTATAAATAGCATGCTAGTCTCTCATCTTGTATAAGGAAACATAGGAAGATAAAATCTTAAATCAAGAGAGAGAGGTTATTTGTTATTCTTGTATACTTGTAATCTTGTTTGATAGGTAAAGGAAAGAATAGCAGTTTATAACCAATCTTTGTTATTTCTTCTTGTTCTTCTTGCTTGTTTTCTTTGTTAACCATAACCCTTGTGTGTTTCTTAAATATAACAAAATCGTTTATATTTTGTTTCAAGGCCTTATATTCACAACAAATTGGTGTTGTGAGCGTGGAAAAGATGTCTTCAACAAAGTATGAGATTGAAAAGTTCACCAGAGTGAACGACTTCGGTCTGTGGTGTTTGAAGATGAAAGCTCTATTGGTTCAACATGGTTGTTTGAAAGCGTTGAAGGAAGAGGTAGCCATAGACATTGCGTTAACGGCAAAAGAAAAGACGATCATGATTGAGAAAGCCCACAGTGCAATGTTGTTGAGCCTTGATAATAAGTTTCTTCGACGGGTATCAAAGGAGACTACAGCATCGGGGTTATGGGTGAAACTTGAAAGTTTGTACATGATCAAATCTCTGGTGAATCGACTCTACTTGAAGCAAGCTTTGTATTCATTCAAGATGAGTGAAGACAAAGTGTTAGCTAAGCAGTTGGACATGTTTAACAAGCTGATTCTTGATCTTGAAAATATTGATGTGAAGATCGACGATGAAGATCAAGCACTGTTGTTGTTGTTGTTGTGTGTTTTTCCCAGAACACATGCTCACTTAAAAAAAAACTCTCTTGTATGGAAGGGAGTCCCTGAGCTTTGAAGAAGTTCAATCAGCCTTGTATCCTAAGAACTTGAAAAAACGAAAGGAGCATAAAACTTCGACGGTGGACGAAGGTTTGGCCGTTAAGGGAAAAATCTTGCGAAAGGATGGTAAATTTGACAAGAAGTAAGGTAAAAGTCAGCAGAAGTCTTATAGTGGCGAAACATCTGGTATTCGATGTTATCACTGTAAGAAGAACGGTCACACAAGAAAGGTGTTCTCCAAACGCCTAAAAAATCATGGAGGTAAGGATAATGGCAACGCAACCATTGTTCAAGATGACTTCGACTCACTTGATGTTCTTGTGGTTTCAAGTGGCGACTTAAGAAAAGAGTGGATTATGGATTCAGGTTGCACTTGGCACATGACTCCAAACAGAGAATTGTATGAGGAGCTATGTGATCAAGATGGTGGATCAGTGTTGCTGGGAAACAACAAATCATGCAAAATTGCAGCTATTGGATATGTGAGATTCAAGCTCTATGATGATTCAATAAGGTTATTGATTAAAGTCAAGTATGTACCTACTTTGAAGAGAAAATTGATTTCTCTTGGTGAATTCGACAGGAAGGGATATGTTTTTCAAGGAGAGAAAAATATCCTAAGAGTCATGAAGGGGTCGAAGGAAGTATTGAGAGGCGTGAAGAAACAAGGCTTGTATACCCTTGAGGCGGAGGTTGTAAGTGGTTCGACAAATGTTGCATCCACGAAACCTGTGTCGAAGACAGAATTATGGCACATGAGATTGAGTCATGTTAGTGAAAGAGGCTTGGTCGAATTGGGGAAGCAGAATCTGCTAGGAGGTGACAAAGATGAAAAGTTAGAGTTTTGTGACTCTTGTGTATTTGGTAAATCCTGTAGGGCGAAGTTTAACAAAGGCAAGCAAAGAACACATGGATCCCTGGATTACATTCATGCTGGTCTTTGGGGGCCTGCAAGGAATCCTTCACACTCAGGTGCAAGGTATTTTCTATCCATCGTTGATGATTATTCCATAAAGATATGGGTATTCATCCAAAAGAAGAAGGATGAAACTTTTAAGAATTTCAAAAGTTGGAAGGTTCTATTCGAAACTCAAACTGACAGAAAGGTTAAGAGGTTGAGAACTGACAATGGCCTTGAGTTCTGCAACGAAGCGTTCGACACTTATTGTGTTGATTCTAGAATTGCAAGGTATAAGACTGTAGTAGGTACTCCTCAACAAAATGGCTTAGCTGAAAGATTCAATCGAACAATCCTTGAAACGGTTAGATTCATGTTGGTTAGTGTTGGATTGAAGAAGGTGTTTTGGGAGGAGGCTATTTTGGCAGCAGCCTATTTGTAAGAACACAGATTGTTTCTTAGTAATATCTCTATGTTTTGATGATAACTCTTATGAAATTTTGTATTAAAGAATTATATACTCTAAAATTTGTACATGAATATCTGCTGCAGATGTTAAAGTATATATATATCTAAGAGAAAATTAATCTGAACATGGAACTATGGAAGGCTCTGAAGAGTCATAATCATCTTATAAGAGAATCTGAATGCTGTCTGCAGAAGGATCTGAAGCAGAAGCTACAGAAGAATCTGAAGCAGAAGCTACAGAAGGATCTGAAGCAGAAGACTCTGAAAGATCTGAAGACTCTGAAAGAT